TTAAAGTTTTTAATCGTTGTTTGCTATTTTTGTTGAAAATATCCGATATTTGGTGATTCTCCCGTATTGCCTTCACAATTCTGATCCATTACCACAGTTGCAGAAGTAACTTGACAGCAGTGGCGACGCGTGGAAATTGTCGTTAGTAAAGTTAGAGCAAAGCATATAACAATACAATACAATACACATATTCTTTATTACACACTAGGACAAATACAAAATAATACAAAAAAAAGTAAAAAGACAGGTACAACAGGCGGCCTTATTGCTATATAGCAATCTCTTCCAGGCAACCTTGGGGTTACAGGAAAACCTGTGAGATAATAATTAATTGAGGGTGCAACAGAATTCGTATTTAAAACACATATAAAAAACCTAGGCCTTAACAAAAAATGGCGCCTCGGTGACAACTAAACGCAACATTTATTAGCACACAAGTTACTAGTACACTTAATTTCACTAGTTAAGTTAATCTACACGTAAAATTGAGTGAATTCGTAATAAAACGTGAAAAATTTTAGACAAGCCGGTGGGAAACGAGTTGTATGGACGCCTCGCCACTGCTTGACAGTGTTGACATTTTTTTTATATAAACAATTGGATTTATAAAAAGTTCAAATTACAAATATTACCTATTTCTGCTGCCAAGCAGTAATGTACTGCGATCCGGTTTTGAAGGGTAAGAACGTTGGTGAAATTACAGGCACATGGGACATGTCAACTTATATCTCAGGGTTTTTTTTTGTTATTATTATTTAATTGAATTTAAGAAAAGGGGGGTGCAATATATTTAAATAAACATAGTCCTACAAAACTGTATATACAGTTTGACTGCAGGATGGAAATGAGTCTCAATTAAGCAAAAAGTTACAAACTGACACTAATGTTGTTAAAAATACTTAAATAATATAATTACTAACTAAAGGTGACGGGCGCAGTGGCAGAACCCCACTGATGTTTGCGATTTAAAACTCTTATGTCCACTTTCACTAAATTAAGTTACATCTTAAACCAATGCTTGCAATTAGTTAATTAGTTACGCGCGACTGAATGTTACTACGTTCGCATGGGCAAACCATTCGCCTAAATCGAATACAAGCACAATCATTCCACTCAAGTTGAATGATTTTCGATACCGATGTCGGAATTACTCGGGACTCCACCAGATCATTCACCATGTCAGAGAGGATTCGGTGATCACGAGCATCGTGCTCTATGGACTCTATGGATTAGTAAGAATGATCATTCAGATCATTCATCATAGGTTACTAAATTTGTCATTCGAATGACAGGATTAGTAATATGGCCGGAAAAAGGTGTTCCACATTTAAAGATACATGTATAGATATTGCTATAAGTAGCGACATAGAGTGTTTAAAACGCCAAATATTATTTCGGATTTCCGAAAATGGTTTTACTGCATCGTCAGACAAAACTGACCTAGGAAGTCGAAGTTGGATTTTAAAGTATTCTAATGGTGCCATGTAAAAAAATGCAGTAGATGACCTTTACACTGGTCACTTTCCCTCCACCCCTTTACATACCGCACTGCGCCCCGCATATTGACAGTCACATTGGCGGAACGACTACAAGACTGTCAGTTATCTACTGCATGTTTTATATGGCACCCTTACAATTACTTGAAAATCCAACATCGACTTCCTAGGTCGGTAGCTTGTCCTACGATGCAGTAAAACCATTTCCGGAAATCCTCGAAAAGATGGTAGTTTTAACAACTCTACGTCGCTAGCAGCTATACCTATACGTGTATCTTTAAATGGTCAAAGTCACTCAACGAGTCATGGAGCGTGCAATGCACGCCATTTCTCTACGTGATCCAATCAGAAATGAGGAGATCCGTAGAAGAACGAAAGTCACCAACATAGCCCAAAAGATTAGCAAGTTGAACTGACTGCCGTTGGGGTAGAAAGGTTCTCGAATGGAGAACACGAACCAGAAGGCATTCAGCGGGACGGCCCCCTACTAGATGGAACTGATGACCTGGCAAGGGCGGCAGGTAACCGATGGATGCAAGTTGCATTCGACCGGCTAGTCCGACATACTTTGGGGGAGGTCTAAATTCAGCACTGAATGACGATCTTTAAATGTGGAATGCCTTTTTCCGACCTATGGTAATTATGGAGTCGATTATCGAAATCGAAACGCTTGCATTGCAAAAGACACTCTTAATACAAGAATGCAAGATACTGTTCGTTGAAAAATGTAATTAACAATGCTGGTCTTATGGTATATTATATTAGTTCGTAAATTTTACCAAAACATAGCATGCGAATATTTTACACAATATTCTTATGTCAATTTTGGTGTATGCATTTTATTTTACGTATTTAAAGTTTAATTAAATTCTATAACATAAACAAACAATAACAATAGGAATTTAACCTAAAAATAGGAAGTTAAAAATATAGATATACAACAGTTAAATTTTACATTTTATTTTACCAAATAAAAAATCATCAATTTTGGAGCAGCATTGAGTAACTAAAATAATAAGTTACGTCTACAATTTAATTCTTGAGCAGCATCCGGTAATTTATTAAATAATTTGGGTGCTAATACGAACATCGTTCTTCTGTAAGATATTTAATTAGGGCGTTATTTGGGTCGTATTTCTATATTATTCCTTGTGTTTCTAGGATATCTAGTTAGATTTTGTTTCACAAGGGCCTCGTCATCATACGTCAGCTTCCTAAAGAAAGTTACACAACTCTCATCGCTGACCCACACCAAACATGGCTCTGATACATTTCTTCTGGGTTTTGAATAATGGTTTATTATGCGTTGCAGCAGCATTTCCCTAAAGCAGTAGTTCATATCGCAAACTAGAGACTACGTTAACGTGATAACTACAAGTAATACATTGTGTTAATTTTTTTAATTTTATTTATTTATAATCAGGTTACACAGATCCAGAAATACATACCTTATAGACTAACATACGTTATAATATAATAACACTGTTTATATATTTATACCCTCTTTCCAACAAAAAAAAGAATCATGGAAATTGGTTCATAAATACCAGAATTATCGCGTAACATACATACAAAAAAAGCATATCTACAGTCGAATTGAGAACCTCCTCCTTTGTGAAAACCCGTATGTACTCCACAATATCCGCAGACTTTATGGAGTAATGAAGTCGTGACACGTATAGCAACGTTGATTGGTGTCAGTCGCCGCAGTGCCACTAAGGTTATGGCTGGATTACTGCATTTTTTAACGCCTGTACCACGGTGAGTGCTCAGAAGAGTTATTCAACCTTATCCCTTCCTCTCCTTTCCATCAGCGGACCACCCGTGCCGGACTGCGTTGCCACAGTTGGACGGTCAGTTCAATACCGTCCCGCACTAAAAAGTTTGGCAATTCGTTCTTATGCCGAACCATCAAATTGTGGAACCGGCTCCCGGCGCATGTATTCCCTCCCCTCTATAACATCGGGTCCTTCAAACATAGTGTGAAGAAGCATTTGGCCAGACCGGCAAAATGATAGTGACGGAGTGAAGATATTTGTGTTTTCCATCCGTTACTCTCATCTCTGGACTGTATTCGCACTTTCCATCAGGCGCAGTGCAGTCATTTTGCCAAGTCACAATAAAAAAAAATAAAAAAAAAATTTCTTGTATGTTATCAATTTAAGCAATGGTTTATGACGTTGATACTTAAGCTTAGTACAAGTGGACATTAGCTAGTCTGTAACAGTTATGATTAATATACGTGTCGTGTAAATAATAAGCCTATGACTTGTTCGTCTTGCACTTGATATCGTGAAGAAAAAACGTAAATTGTAACTGGGTAATTTTCAGGTTAGTATTCTCTACCCATCGAGTATATAACCAGAAGTAGAGACGAAATGTCATTTAATTTGTTTGAAAACTATTCTGCCAAATCATTCCGGTGACAACTGCGCTCCGATTGGCCAGTCCGAATTCGAAACAATTCAAATCAACCAGTTTAACTTGAGCTTTGCTATAATGGACGAAAATTGAAAAATTACATATTTAATATTTAATTACCGATGAAATGTTTTTGCCACACCACCGAATGGAACAACCCCCCATAGTTAGAAATATTGTAGGTATTTATTACAATAAATAATATATAATATTTTTGGAATGTACGGAGACGTACCCACAGATCCGTTGTTGGCGCTATACTATTTCAGCTTTCTAATTTGTTTAAGTGCAAATGAGAGTTGATATTTGCCTAATAAGTTGCCAGGGAGGGATGGATCTTAATTAGTCTCTATTTCTGGTTATACACTCGATGTGCTACCCAATTTCGGTGGCAATTTTTATTATTTAAATATACTAGAATATTATAATGAACTATTGCTTAATATTCGAGTGTAGTACCTTGAAATATTATTAAATATTTCAATACACTACTAACAATTACTGTTGAATAAATAAATTATATTATTTTGGATATCTATTTTAGACTCGCGTCTCTCACACGGCCTAAAAGATTAATTTTAAATTTTTTAATGGGAGAGGCGGTATTTCCCGGGAAGGGCACAATCGGCCGGGGTCAGGGACACAGTTTCAAGAACCGGCGAACAATACGTGCCGTATTGAGCAGGACCGCTTTCTGCATTTGTGTTGGAAGCGACATGCCACAGAACAGTCTCATGTTGTTAGCGAGGCTGACTGGAATGTGCCCATTTGCGGACAAATTGGGAGGTGACATCCCTCATGTCGGTGACCTCGTGAACCAATTCGAGATACTTCCGGGGTTTCTCGGTTTCGGCTTTCACGATACCCTCTTCACGTGGGATGGTACCGTTTTCACTATCAAGTGACGGGACGAACAAGTCGTGCGCCTGGAGGTAAGCGACACGCCTGTTTCACTCAGAGCTTTAAATCACGAAGATCTGAATGGGCATTGCTACTGCGCTCATCACTGTGAGACACAAGTTGACAAGTCCCGTATGCATGTAACTGTACCTCAGCAATTATTACAATTATTACTGTTTTCAGGAAATCCGGAGAAAGAAGAAAAAATGACACGTGAACGCCATACGACTGAAGCTGGATCACGAATAGGAACTTTACTGACCCAGTTTTCACAGGAATACACAACGACAGCGTCTCCAGAGCGAACCAATATTACAACACGTCGACGAAAAAATTGTAAAAAACAGAAAGTAGTACCAGCCGCACCCACACATTTATCTACTCATCGTTTCGAACCTATTAACAATAGCGGTGTTAACGAAAAGCAAAAACTTAAATTCAAAAGCAAAGTCTTAAACGATCAAGTCAATAAACAATACCAACCACTAATCGTTATACAGGCACAAAAGGATATGCCCAAAACACCTTCTAATTGCTCGGATGCAAAAGAATTATTTGAAAATTTAAAGACATTGCCATTTCCAAAAATAGATTTTAAACTTGAAGATATAGTACATACAAAGGCAAACGATATTATTAAAACCGCCCAATTTAATCGGTCGATTTTACAAACACTTGACGAACCTAACACACTAGTCGGTGACAATAATAAAGATATATTATATGACTTGTTTGTGAAACTTTTAGAAATTTCTTTCAAAATGTATAATGTAGAAACCGATTTTAAAAACGAACATGCTCGTTCAAACAATGTAATGGAAATCGACGAACAAGTAGCTACAAAGCTTAATGTAAAGAAAAATCTGGAGAAAGCAGATGCTTTCAGTGATCTTAAAACTCCTGAGCAATATTTCAATATCATCGATGAAGGAATATATACATGGAATGATCACCGAGTCCAAGTAATGGAAAAACAACCGCTACACAAAAATTTGGAGCCTCCACTTGTTAACATTCCAAAACGCAAAAAAATGTTTTTAAGATCTTTCTCACACGCACCCCGAAATGATATCTTAGGACATGAACGTTCGCACGTAAGCTCAAAATATGAACGTACGGTTACCGAACAAAAACCACAAAAGAGAAGGTTTAAAAATTTTAGAAATGTATTGCTCGATACGTTGAAAGAGGATCTCAAAATGGACAAAGATGATTTTGAAGAGCCACAAAACATGCACGAGGCTTTGAAAATAATTGCAAAGAATAAACGCAAGTGCCGCACGCAGGTACGGTTAGACAAAGGAGTTAAATTCAAGAAAATCGGCGAGGATACAAATACTGACTGTCAGTTTAAAAGAAAACGAGTTATATCTACTGTGACGGAAGCCAGAAAGCACAAAAAACTTACGAAAAATTTCGTTAAAATAAAGACTGCGATTGAGCCTACAAATTTTATATGTCAAAAGAAATGCAGAGCCGCTCCTCATCTTATAAATACTGAATTAGATGAATACAAACCAAGCGAGATATCAGACAGACCATCAATTCAATCGATTGAAGTTAAGGGCTTTGATTTCGAGTCCAATACGATCAGACAGCTGCGGGATTTGAGAAGTAAAGATAGCCTATGTTCGGATGCTACCTTCCACTGTTTGAGACAGGAAGATAGTTCACGTTATTTCTTGGAAACGGCGCCTACTGATGCAACCTGTGTGGAGACTAATAGAGCCAATGATAATACACATTCGACGGGTAATGAGGTAAAGACGGAAGTTAAGCTCTCAACGGAAGTAATAACTGACTGTCTTCAATTTGATACCGACTCAGATGGTGATGATGTATCATTAGGTATGGAAACTGGCAGCAATTGCAGTTCATCATTTAGTGTGCGCAATGATTCTTTAAGCAACCTATTGACAAAGGACAAAGTTAAATTTTGGAAAAAGTTCAACAAAAAGAAAATGAAAGTAGAAAATTTAAAATTAAAAAAAAAAGTTTGATTTCATTTTTGTTTTTTTATTTATTTGCCTTTTATAGCTCCCTGTAAGAGTAAATTTGCAATTATAATGCTTTTAATATTATAATTATTAGATACCTTTTCAGCTACCGCTGGCGAGAGATATCGCTATTCACTGTATTTTAAATTTTTATTGAATTGATATTCAATTATTTTTGTGCTATCTCTAACTGGGTGATAAAACTTTCATAGATTTCTCATAGATGGCGCTACGACTAAAAAGTCGCTGAAAAACCAAATGCACGACAACAAGCACATAGACAAATTCGTGAGGTCCGCTGGTTCGTTCCGTGGCTTAGTTGGTATAGCGTCTGCCACGGTATGCTAGAAGACGTGAGTTCGAATCCGGCAAATTTGTATTAATAATTATAACAAACTAGTGGAGTAATTTCACATACATATTAATTGAATATCAATTCAATAAAAATTCAAAGTACTATATTTTTAAATGACGTAAATTTTTCGAAGAGAGCTTGTAGTGACTGAAGAAAAATATCTATATTTTTGAAGCAGTCTAGTCGGTATATGGCAATAACTACTGTCTCTGTTCCGAACCCTATTGTCAGACAGTTTGCTTCCGACATATTGGGCTCCTCAACGCAGCATATCAAACCAATCCTGACCATAAGAACCACTCCATCATTTTGGTAGTAGATATTACTATTTTTATGACTTACATAACCAGTTAAAAGAGGTAGTCGACCCAGTGCATTAACCAACATTCTATTAATACTATAATATCACGTGTACAATTCAGTCTTTGCAATAAAACAGTGAAAGTATTCAAATTACGATTAATGCTACGTATATTTTATTGTATAATTTTTAAATATAATTCAGGCTTCATTAAATAAGAGTTACATTTTTCTGGTTCACAGACATATGATTGCGACACATTAAAGTTGTCAATATTATTAGATAATTGGTTTAGGTCACCGAATTTTAAAATATAATGTACCCAAAATATCATATTTATTTATTTATAGTCATAGGCGCTTGGAAGATATTATCAATAGGAGTTGAATAGGAGATAATTAAGTGAGTGTAGTATACGAAAGAATTATAATTAACTTGACTAATTGATGTGTAAGAGAGTGCTTGTGTAAGTAATTGTAAAAGTGTGTAAGTGTGTATTTGTGGATTGTCGCGTATGTAGTGTAGCAACGAATCTATTTTGGTATATTGTACTGTTTTAGTGTAACTTATGTAAAGTGTGTGGACGTTGTTTATGAGTAGGTTATAAAAAAGAAATTCTAGTCACTTTTCTTTTGCAAGTTTATTAATATCGAATTTGGGTTCGATATAACCCGTTGACAACCGTCGTCTTTTCGAAAAAGGACTTTCCCGTAAGATGTCCAACAGTATGACGCTAAATATCTATGGCCTAAACTAGGTCTAACCTGTACGACACATCAAGTGGATAATGGAGAGACAAGAGAGACTACATTATGTTAACCTTAGAGCTACGTCCAAACTCATGGTACCACGTTTTCGTTTAACCAAGGCAAATGACTCTTTTATGGCAAACTGTATACGTTATCATTTCCTATGTTTAAAAAGTACTTTTTTTAATTCAAAAGTCATATTACAAAATTGAAGACTACGTGTTAAATAGTCTGGTTAAAGGTAAAACCACATAAGTGACACTTTAAACAAAGAGTCTTCAATTTGTATAGCTATGGTAAGAAAATCACTATATTTTTGCATGTGAAACTCAATAACAAATATTATTTTTATCTTCAGAAAGATGTTGATTTTCTTACAACAGGTACATCATTTGGAGATTATTGTGGAAAATGTCACCTTTATTCAGACGAAATAATGATGTATGAAAAGACGACAAGGCTCTAGGTTCCACACAAATTAGATTCAAAGTGTTTTCCATAGCATTTAAGTTTTCTGAAGTAACGTTTTCAAGTATAAATTTATTTCACCTATGCTATGGGCTAAGTGATTGCTTGACTTGACTTATAAACTATAGGATTAAATTGTTATTATTAAGTAATTAGTTTATTAAATAATTAGTGTGCGTGTGTGGGTGTGTGTATTGTATTGATTTTGTTAGGTAAATAAAAGTAAATAAAAATTGGAAATTGGTACCTTATGCGGTGACAGAAACGAGAGCTTCGGCTCATAATTCAGCTTTTGAATATATTATTTTTGCACTCATATTATTTTGTTGATATCATATACTGACATTTTGTTGTTATATTTGTAGTATAGTTTATATAAATAATCAGAATGTTCAAATGCGCAAATGCTGCCGAGGCCCGTAGGACTCTTCGTGACCACTTTAGGAAACTATGCACTACACAATCGCAGCAGCAACAACACTCTGAATGCGTTGGTATATTGGATGCGCAGAGCATTTTTTTTTAATTTATTTGGTTTACCAATAGCTATTACATTGTGACTTATTTCCTAGGTACAATAAATTGTGGTTTTAAATTTAATTACAGCTAAACATCTCATGTAAATAAGAAAAATAGCAAAGGAACTTCTAACATGTAACTTGACGATGTAATATTATTAGAAACAAATACTAATAACTACCTACGTTTAAATAACAAAATGCTATTTCATATTTTTTTTTAAATAAAGACAATCTGCATGTACGCCCAAATATTCACTATTTATATTATACAAGTTACAAATTCTGTATATGGGTGAGTTCGTACCAAAGAGGTGGGCAAAGTGGTTGGATAGCGCATCGTGGGTATCTCTGATGAGGCACTTTTGGCTTAGTAGAATCGGACAATCAATTTGGTTTCCTAGTAACTTGTAAAAAAAAGATCTAATCTATCCTTACGGTTTTCAAGGCTCATCATCTGAAATCGCTGAAGTCTCATTTTGTAAGAAGATCGTTTAGCCATTCCCTGCGAATACGCCAAGTGGCACAATTTTTTTTTATTCGCTCAATTCTTAGTGAATGTGTGGCAAAATGGGGTCTCCAAAATTGCACTACTCTAGTAGTGATATGGAGCTATTCTTCACGAGAACTAATTTTTTCACTGTGCTGTATACATATTATTATTTTAACTAAATAAATACGTTTTAATTTTTACTGATTTCAATATTATAAAAAATTTCTGTAAACTATTTTGAATTCAATTACTAAATATTTCAGTATAAAAACCATTGTTTTAGAGAAAACAGGGAAAACGAGACGTCAAATCAAGATATTTAGTTAATTTTGTGCCCATAATAAAAACAAAACATGTTAAGTATTTTATAATTTCAAAAACAGTGTCACTAGCAACAGATACATATCTATTTTACCTTCGCTGTCGAAGATGTTAGAGCGTTTGACAAACAAGAGGCTAAGGAATTATTTACATGAATACATTATCTCTAATAATCTGCGCTCTAACGAGTTGTAAGTACTGTAGTTTTTTTAGTCTCAACTCTACGAAAAATTTATAAGTTGTAGCATTGTAAGCCTCTTGAGTGTATCCGACCCACAGACTCGACGAGTACACTTTTTTTCTTTAAATCACAAAGATGTGAGGGGCACTACCACTACGCCCGTCACTCTGAGACATATGTTGTCAAGTCTCATGTCCCTGTAATTTCACCAGCACCCTTACTTTTCACAACTGGAGCAGTTATGCTTACATTACTAACCGCTGTGTGACCGAAGAGCATAAGCACACACCAAAACCTAAATCCGACCACGCGCCGCTCGCCGCGGTAGACCGCAGTGATGTGGTACAGGCATCGAGTATATAACCAGAAATAGAGACGAAATAAGTGCCCCTCATCCCTGGCAACTCATTAGGCAAATGGGCCTTACTGTCTGAAATCACACATTACAAAACTGAATTAGTAAGGTAAATGTCCCAGTGGTTGACACTGTCCCAATGTATGACACTTTGCATTTTTTCTCAAAAAATCAAAAAACAAACATTGATATTACTCCAAAACCGTGTTAAATGTACTAGTAACGACATCTATGAATTTAACAGGCGAAATATTATTAATTACCGGTAAGTGTTTATTGAAACCATAACTGTAAAAACAATTAATTTTGTGTGTATTTATTGATGGATGTCGTTTATATTTTATTTTAGAGGCATATCAAACACTGGTGCAAAATTTTAATGTTTACTAGTAGTTGACACTCACTCAAGCACTCGTATATATTATGAAGAATATTTTTTAAAACTTGATTTCGACCATTTTGTAAGGATGGAGAACATATTACTCTGTTAGTGGCAAGTTTCTATGGGTAGTTTGAGTAGTGTTTGACATGGGTGTCAAAGACGGTTGGGTTAGTATGGGAACCCAATAATTGGCAGTTGTATATTGAGGTGTCAAACAATAGCGCGTAACTAGTGTCAATTATTGGTTACGGGTATTGTTCAATAAAAAAAAAGTGCCACTAAGGCTGTCGCCTTATTCTGATGATGACGTATTGAAGGTGGTAGACGAAGTATTAAGATGAATTCCTATCGCAGCAGCTGCGAGAAAATATGGGGTTTTACTGTATAAAATTTTACTAACAGACTCTAGATGAAGTACTCATTATTTTGACTCCTTTGATATAACTGCACTTTCCTGTTACATGCGTATATTTTCTATTTCTATTTTGTATGTTTTTTGCACGCACTTACTTACCTTGTTACAAAGGTAAGTAAAAATTTATTAATTTTAATAAAAGCATATCGATTGATTATGGTTATTCTTATTTTTAAAAATTTATTGCTATCAAATGAAATCTTAACATATCGTCCTGTCAAATCTCCGATCTCACTGTGCCATAGTCAACTATTGGGACTTTAGAAATATTGCCTGTCCTGTCATACGCTGGTACAATTTTAGAGGTAGCGGAAAACTGGAATATATTAATAATGCCTATGATTATTTTAAATTTTATAGTTCCTAGAAGATAAATGACAAACCGTTTAATATGCTAACATACCTAGGTAGTCAGTATGACTGATAATTAAGTACTTTTTTGGCAAAATACGTAATTTCCCGTCTATAAGCGTCAACCACTGGGACATTTACCGTAACAGTCATAAGATGAATTTTGTTGGTGTTATTCTGGTCGATTTATAAATAAATTTTAGTTTTTAAAGCCTGGTTTAATAGTTAGTCATATTAGTAAATGTTTATGTAGATTATTCAATATTTTTATTGCCTTTTTCATGATATTTTATACAAAAATTACGCCTTTTGTCAAGAAATCCTGATTTCGGTGGTAGCTGAATGCAGTGGTTTAAATACATTAAGTATTAAGAATCTAGTTGCGCAATTAACGGAATCTTAGGCAAGTTTGAGTTCTTTTGCCTTCCCGCTCAATGTTTTTCCTGAAATCAAGGAAAAAAATTCGACCGCTGAAGTCAGACAATTTAGCCCTTCTAGGAGAAATGCCCTTAATTATTAATGCTCTGGCCACACAGAGGCGGCCGCTGATGCGTTCCGATCGCGGGGATTTTTTCTTTTTCCCGTTCCCGCGCCCGGAATGCTTCTGGGGCCGCCTCTGTGTGGCATGAGCATAAGTACTAACATAGGTTAAACGCTCGACGCACAAGTTTTTGCGATGACCGTCCTCACTTTCACGTATATTAATGGCGAATCTGAATTCTATTTACTACGCAACAACATTTAAATTCCTCTGAATAATACAACCGCGCCCGTGACGCTCATTTAAGTTAAAACGTAAAAGCTCACAGAACAATAAATACGTAGAAGATGTTAGTTAGCATCGGACGCGTGCCAACTGCAGGTCTCGAAAGACCTATCTGAGCTCAGTCCGCCAATTTCGCTTTGTATGGTATGGGTGTTGTATGGGCTTTGACGTCTTGATTGTAGGTAGTTAAGTTAGTTGTAGTTTGTAGTTAGTTA